TATATAGGGACTACTTTAAGGCCATACTATTTGGGCACATGGACCCTCAGGGCTAAACCCTAAACCCTAATGCACGGCCCAAACAGCATGGAGAAGTGGGGTTGAGCGCTATATAAGGCTTTGGCACGGAGTTCTACAAGGTTTGGGATCAAGGGTTTGTAGGGTTTAGGCTCCAGCAGCGCTAGAGATGTACGAGACCAGACTAGACTAGACTCTTCACCCCTGTCTCCCCTTACCCCCCAAACCCCAGACCACGAGACAGACCTCACCCTCGGGGTGGCACAAAGTTGGCTGTACTACATTCTGACTCCCTACTCTGACATGGGTACTATATACATGGGTGATTGTCAGAATTAGGGTCCCTTTCTGGGTACTCTACATACTAGGTGCCGTATTATACTACGGACCCAAAAAGGGACCCTCATTTTGACAACCACCCACATCTGTAGACCATAGGGCTTGGCGTATGTAGGTTCTTCTCCGACTTGTATATGTCTCTCATGTAGCTGTATAATCCCTAAGCCTTAAACCCTAAACTGGGCATATGCCGGATATAGGATCTTAGCAGAATTTGCAGGCCTTTATTGCGGATTACCAGGTTGTAGTGTTTCTTGTTATTTCATACTGTTGATGGACAAAATTCTGCATGGCCCAAATATAGTAAAGTACCATAAACCCCATAGTTTAGGTATATAAGGTAATGCAGGATTTTGTCCATCAACAGTATGTTAGGCTTCTTATGCCTCCAAGATGAAGGGTAATTGGGCATTGTTGCCGGCTCCCTGATTTCGGTCGGGGCTTCGGAATGCAGCTTGAAAGATTTAGGCCTTTTTGTGGTTTATGGTTTAGGGGCTTAGGGTTAAGGGGTTCAGGGGCTTAGGGTTTCTTACTAGTTAATGTAAGATTATAAGTTATTTCGAAGCTGGGATCTGCTTGCAAGATGACTCGCAGCCCAGGCACAGAAGCTCACGAAGAGAACGCCGACCGCCCAATACTGGCTGACGATGACCATGATGGAGAGGCAGACGATAGAACCTCAACATGCCCCTAGGCTAAGACAAGAAGGGCAGCACAGGTCAGTGATGATAAGGCACAAGTCAACGTCATATTGGGAAAGAGCTCAGGCAACTCTGAGCAATGAGATGCAGCCATGAAGGCACATTGAAACTGCGGGTAGGCTCAGTATGAGCCATACCCCAAGTCCCCCATCCATATATTGAGGGACCCTCTACGAATGCTAAGCTTTGAAAGCGCAGCTGAGAAGCCCAAAACCCAAAACCCCTAAAACCGAAACCCTAAAGCCCGTAAACCCCTAACCCCTAAACCCTAAACCCTAGACCCTAAACCCTAAACTAAACCCTAAAGCGTAGCCGAGAAGCCCAGGAGGCCGGTAAACATGTACCAACACCGCCAGCGTTTTCGCGACATGCCTTCCCCAACACACGCCATCGAAACGAGAAGGCTACAGGGACTTGGGTTTAGGGTTTAGGGTTTAGGGTTCTACCTGGACCCCCCAACTACCCTCTACTATATCCTAAATACCCACTGTTAAGGGCCGTAAGGGCTCTTTTGAAGGGCCCTTGGCGGGTCCTGGTAGGGTTTAGGGTTTGGGGTTATCGAAACGAGAAGGCTCTAGGGAACTGTAGCGCTTAGGGCTTACGGTGTAGGGCTTACCTCGGTGGAGTCAACTTGGGCTGGCACTATGGCGCATGCGGAGTCTCTGAATATACATTGTATGACCGCAGCCACGCACATATGCACAACTGACTGTGTTAGTCGGAAGTGCTCCCGCAAATTTCGGGCACCTGGTGCTCTATGTTGTCAGACTTCTAAAACAAACAATGTTGAGACATGTTGTAGGTGGCCAGGTGCACGAAACCCCGTCGGATACCAAGCAAGGAACTAGACTGGACATATAACAGACCAAAATGTTTGGAGAGTACATGGATGCGGACCGTGCATTGCATACATCCATCAACCCATTCATGCATGTATGCATGCATGCTTTTGTGGCTTCTGATAATGAGGAGGCACATGTAGCAAACCCGGCGGAACACCAAACCGTAAATCCCCAAACCCATAACGTGTAGCCCCCTTCGAAGCTAACATGGTGAACAGGTGCACGTTGTGCATTCTACATTAGGTGATGTTCCTATGACCTTTCCAACATAGCAGGGTACCGTAGTTTGAGAGCCTGAGGCTGTAGCGGCGGTAGCCACTATAGTCCTCATAATTTGCGTGCTATTCTTATAAGAGCAATCAAAGAAAAACTGCCCCAAGACGTTATGGAAACCCTTAACGGTCTAATGTAGGGGCCTTAATAAATAGAATAGGATTTTGGGGTATATGATACCATAAGAATCATAAGGAACCCTCAAAATTAAATAAGTAATTATTCAGGCCCTTTTATCACGGGTTGCAGGTTTCCGGTGTTTTGAAATCGGAGATTGGCCTGCGGGCCGGAAACCCGGCGAGCGCACCCAGGTCAGCACAAAGCAGGAGAAGTTCATGAAGGTGTAGGCCACCAGGAAGCACCTTGGGGGTTTGGGGATTCTTGTTCATAAA